TCCCCTTGTTGGAACCATTTCAAAGGAAAGGTGCATACACCAATCTGTTTTGGCTGCGAGTATTTAAGTATGTATATACATTAATAAGCAAGGTGATAAAAACATTTAAAGTAATGAAATGTTTTACTGGTTACTTCTCCATCAAATGCAACCAGGGAATCAATTTAAAAAATTAAATAACAAATTGTAAAACGAGTATGTTGAAATTCTGAATGTAACTTGATCACACCTTAATGCTGGAGAATGGAATGTGCTGGAAAACTTTGAAGATTAGGCAGACATTTTTCATTTCCTCATCAATATCATCATCGCCATCAGCATCACCATCGTCGTCATCAACGACAACACCATCATGCCTCGTTCTCTTCAGTCCAATGAGGATGGGCATACTGAATTCCTCATTGAAGGTCACCACTAACGATTGGTTGGTTGGTAGATTGGTTGGTAGATTGGTTGTTTGGTTAGATTGGTTGGTTGGTAGATTGGTTGATTGTTGGTCGGTTGATTGGTTGGTTGGTAAATGATTCGTTATTTATGAGTTGTTTGGTTAATTGTTTGATAGAATAATTAATTAGTAGGCAAATTATTTCCATCTGAAAAAAGTTACGGCAATCTAATTTGATTAATTGAATGATCAAAAAACTTCTCCAACTGAGTAATGATGAAAAATAAACACAATAGCGAAAGAACAAACAAAATAGCGAATGAACGAACAAACAAGTAAACGTACAGCAAACAAGTGGATGAACGACAAACAAGTAAATGAACAAACGAACGAGTGAACGAACAAACGAACCGGTACTGTTGGCTGAACCCCTGGTGAATGGTTTAGTTTTGTATGAAGATAGAACGTCATCGTCAGGCGCATGAGGCGTGGAGTGTGTGGATGCTTGTTGGGATGAAGATGCTGATGTCTTGCTGGTTGACGTGGCACGACGACGAACGACGTCACAAGTTATGTAGAAGGATCTTCGATGGAGAAAGAACATTTTCATGTGTCAAGTATGTATTCAAGTAGGTCCAGTTAGTTTCCATGTTACACACGCATTGAAATAAATCATAGTTATTATTTTAAAGCAATGAACGAAAATATTTATAAGCGCCAACAAAATACCGCTACGAAAAAACTGAAGCAAAATAACAAAAGAACCAAATATGTATCTGATAGAGATGATTGATGAATGAGAATTGAACCTGGACTTGAAGGAGACATCTGCAGTTGACGATGAGGGTGGTGTTGATATCTTGCTGGTCATCTGCTTGAAGAAGGATTGGTCAGTGAAGAGGAAGTCCCTGATGGTCACGGTCAGTTCTGCTGCGTGAGGACAGTCGTTGTGGATGTGGGTGGGATGTGATTGATGTAAACGGGTGAAGTTTCATCGATCGACAAGTACAAAAATTAAATAGATTAATGAGCCTGAGAAGACGAGAAGTGTGGAGGTGGTGTGGGAAGTGAAGTGTGGAGTGTGGTAGTGTGAGGAAGATAGCAGGACGAAATGAACAGACCGGGGTACGAAGCAGGGAGGATATTTGTCCTGTGACGTGTCACGCCGCCAAACGAACACCTTTTGGACTTGCTGACGCCGGCGTGGCTGTTGGGCGGTTTGTGGTTGTAGGCGACTGCTGAAGTGCTGGATTTGGCCTGAGTTGTTGGGAACAATGTTGTTAGCCGTGAGTGATTAGATAACTGATTGAATGTTTAGTAAGACGTTTGAGTGTTTGGCTAGTCGCTTAATTGTTTTGTTAGCTGATGGCTGGTTGAATGGATGGCTGAATGGTTAACTGGGTTTGTTTGTATCATCGTTGAAATTATTAATACTGCGAAATTTGCAATCATTTTTGTTATTCAAATTTCCGATTGTATTCAAAAACTGTTTTACTACTTTGTAGGATCGCAATAACAAACCAAAACATGGTCATTAAGGAAATGCTCATGCCTATCATTTGTAGTATCAGTAATCCATTAAATAAACAAAAAACATTCATTTGACTGAAACATGAAACTAGCGTTAGCTCGTGAGCTACTTCAAACATTATTCACATTATAATCAGTATAACATACCCGGTTGGAATGTAACTTAATGGAATGCCCCTCAACAACCAGACTCCTACTCCTCTTCCTCTCCTTCCTCTCTCTCCTCCCCTCACCTTCTTCCTCGTCCCCACCCTCGCCAGCATTGCTGTTGTTGTCGTTGGGGATCCTTTCACGGACCTTTGAGACGTTTTCCATGCTTGACAGGCCATCAATCTAATCAACATCGTGTGCGTGTATGTTTAAGTACGTGTGTGTGTGTACGTGTGTTTGTGTGTGAGTGTGTCTGTGTGTATGTGTTTTTAAGTGTGTGTGCGTGTGTGAGTGAGTGCGTGTGAGTGAGTGTGTGTGTGTGTGTGCGCATGAGTGCGTGAGTGTGTATGTGTGCGCGTGTGTAAGTGCGTGAGAGAGTGTGTGTGTGTGTGTGGATGTGTGTGTGTCTGTGTGTAAGCGCATGTGTGACAGTGTGTGTGTTTGCATTTATATGTGTGTGCATTTAAATAGGGCGAGAAACATCAAGTTTATGTTAAAATAGCTGAATACTTTAAAGAGAAATCTAGTTGAAAGTGATAGTGACGATAAATTGACAAACAAACGAACGATCGAAGAATTAATGATTAAACGAATAGCAAACAAATAAGCAAACAAATAAGCAAACAAACCAGTAAACAAACAAACAAACAAACAAACAAACAAACAAACAAACAAACAAACAAACAAACAAACAAACAAACAAACAAACAAACAAACAAACAAACAAACAAACAAACAAACAAACAAACATACAAACAAACATACATACATACATACATACATACAAACAAATAACCAAACAAACCAGTAAACAAACAAACAAACAAGCAAACAAACATTATCATAGACCAGCTCCTGCAGAAGTCCATCGTCAAACAGCAGATCCTCTGAATTGGAGGCAAGCATCGTAACGTCTATATTGTGGTTGCCCTCCAACATGACACCATCAAACATGGGGCCAGGCTTACCGTGCCGTGCGTCGGAATTGAAGATCTGGAAGAATTGATTGAATTCAGTGTTGGACGTGAATTGAAAATTGAAGGAAGAGAGATGGCTTGCTGCTTACAATGTTTTTAGTTACAGCTAATCGTAAGGAAACAATAAAAGAATGTTAATATACTAATTTAATGTTAGTCTGATTGTGGTTTCTACATTAACAAAAATATAAATGAAATAAAAACGACAAATCATCAAAACATAAATACAACAGATGCAACAACAACAACAACAAAACAACAACAACAACAAACACAACAACAAATTAAAACGTACAAGTTATTTAACAGAAATCTACAAATGACATCAAGTGATTACATTGAGAGCTGAAGGGAACTGTTTGATCGAGTCGAGAATGAGTTCGACTGGTTGGACATCGGTGTTTATGTCATCTCCACTCAACAACTCATCTGCAATATTGTTCTTCTGCATGTTCGCCTGCGTTCTGTCAGAGGAAGAAGGATTGGCAGGTAGGGTCGTAATAACTTCGTCCGTGAATTCAACAACGATAATAATGATATCATAACATAATGTATCAATTTAAACACACTTAATGACATAAGAAATATTTCAAACTGAATCGATTATGAATGAAAGTATTTTAGACAATAACATCTAAAGATTAAAAAAACATTCATAAGTAAATAAGTAATATAATTAACTGAACCATACTGAAAAAAAATGTTTGCTAAGTTTGCACCAACACTAAGAAATAAAGAGCCCAACAACATCAAAAAATAAATAACAACAACAGAAAAAATCATAACATTAAGATGAGAATAACTGATGGGAACGATAACGAACTGAAAGAGTTGTCTGCTGTTTGAGATGGATGCCTTCAACATGGCATCTCTCAAATGTTCACCAAACATCAGCATTGCATCCAGGTCACCTGTGTATATTGTTGGTTCGTTCGTTTGTTTGTTTGTTTGTTCATTTGTTTATTGATAAATTAATTAATTTACTTATTTTATTTATTTATTAATTCACAGTTTATTTAATTATCGTTTAGCATTATTACAGCAACCAAACCAACAACAAATGTGATATGGCAAGCTGTTTAAGATTGTTACAAAACATCAACATTGATTACCCACATTTAACCAAATGAAAATATATTCAGAGCATGTGTGTGAGTGAAACTCCTTCAATATTATATTAATATTAATTTCAGGTAAAGCGATAGGAAGTGTAGCTAACCCAAAATAGATGGATGTTGAGCGGAGGAAGGGGCAGAAGTTACAAAAGGTTTTATGTTTTCCTTTAAAGGGTTCATATTTAAATTAATAAAATCCGTTCCTATTCGATTCTTTGCATCGTTTGAAGCTGCTGCAGTTGCTGCTGTCGTGGCCATTGTCACGACAGTAGTTGCTGTTGTGGTTGGTGGCTGAGGTGGTAGATGAGTGAGTGAGTCCATCTGTGTGGAAATAGTTCAAAGTCATCCACTGATTCTTAGTTATTTATTTATTTAGCATTATTACAACAACCAAACCAACAACAAATGTGATATGGCAAGCTGTTTAAGATTGTTACAAAACATCAAACAAATGAAAATACACTGATTCTTATGAATAATGAATCTAATTGGTCAATTAAATATTATATTCAAATCGCTCAAGATGCTAATGTTAACATTGCATTAAGATGAATTCCTATTAAGTTGTTTTCATGTTTAAAAGTACAGACTATTTTAATTGCTCCCTCAGAAATAATCATCATAAACAGAGTTGAAACAGAGTGATTTTACTGGTGATTTTACTAAATATATATTATGTGAACAGAAAGCTCAAGAACATCTCAACAATTTAAAAGTAATTTTCTTGAAATACTTTAAATAATATAATTCTATTAAAAATGTGAATATCAAGTAATTCATCTCAAGATCAAAAACAAAGTTATACAAATGCATATTCAAACCATATTCAAACCAATAAGAATCCAATCACAATCCACACGGCAAAATATACACTCCAGATCAAAGAACAATGACCGCCTAGCACAATATGCACAACATTAGGATGATGATGACTCATTAAATTGAAATAGAATTAATCACCATTAAAAATACACTGTGAACTTGCCTTGGTATGATAAGCAGGCAGAATATGATCAGCGTCTGGAGTTGGAATGCTGTGGTTAATATCCCGCATAACTGAAGAGTGCCAGTGTGCATCAACGTCAGTTGAAATGGGATGATTATTTTTCAATTTTTAATTTAATTTAACCGCATAAAATATTATTCAAAGTTATTAAATCAATCTTTATGTAAAGGTTAAAGGTCATCTTGGATGTAAAGGTTGAAGGTCAATTGAAATATGAAGGTGAAAGGTCATCGAAATATAAAAGGTTAAAGGTCATTTTGGATATAAGGGCTGAAGATAATTTTGGATATAAAGGTTAAAGTTCCATCCTCTCTCTCACTCTACCAACAAAAACACACACACACGACTGAGTTTCATAAATACTGTCAATAGAAATAATAATAAAAAAAAACACGATGACAATAAAAATACATAGAAATCATTGTGATGATGTATGTGAACTAAGAGCAGCTTCAATGCCGCTAAAGATTAAATAGTTGATTATTTTGTTATTTTTTTGTTATTTATTGTTTGCCCATCTAACTGTTTAGTGGCTCCATGGATATGTTGATCTGTATGTCTGCAACCTTTGTGTTGGACGAAGTGATCACTGGGTACAACCTTAACAAAACATTCCGTACATTAAAATGGAACATCCATCTAATTCTTTTAACGTTTTTAACAGCTTCAAACAATGAAGCACAATTCATTCAACAACTGCATGGAGACTGTACTAACTATATGCGCCAATGATTTCCACAATATGTATATATATATATATAAACAAATATAGAAATATACTATACTTTCGTTCATTAAAAACGGAGTATATAATAGACAATAAGACATAAATAATAGAAAAAATTTAATATATACACCTACATATACATTGAAATGAAGATACTACTGAAATGTAGTAATGAGACAACAAATTAATGAATATATATATATATATATATATATATATATGTGTGTGTGTGTGTGTGTGTGTGTATATAAATATATAAATGTGTGTGTATGTATGTGTGTGTGTGTGTATAACAATTTTCAAAAGACTAAATGAAGGAAGAAAGATAAGAACAAGTGAGTAACAAAAGCAAGTAACTAACCCTTTGATAGGTTTGCCTGGAGACAACTGGTGCAACCTTTGGATGAATGCCTGCCCTATAGCGTTATTGTTGGTGGCCTGGATCACTTGCAGACAGAGAACTTTCATGTCTAATGGAATAAATTTATAAGGCTGTGTACGTCATTATCTTTTGATTGCATAGGCCTCAACATGTACAGTACATATCTATTGAGTTATCAGTTATTTTAGTTGCTTCAGGAATTAATAGAAAATAATGTTAAAAATTTAAAAGGACTTCAGGAATTTTTTATAAATAATTGTTATAGATTGAAATTGAACCGGTAATGTATTTTTAGATAAGATTATCTATTTTTATCAGTATCTAAAATATGTGATGGTATCACAGAGGGTTTTGAATTTACTACATAATTGTTTATTGAGTTTCATGTGCAGTGCATACACTTACGCATGCAAACACACACTCGTGTAGATTGCAGATCCAGAAGTTTTCATGAACATTATACTACCAAATAAAAAATAATTGAAGAAGAGAAAAAAAAGAACCTTTGAGGTACTCAAGAAATTGTTTGGGACCAGATCTGACTTGATACAATGCACATGTCATCTCAGATGCATCCTTCCTCTGCTTTCTACTTCTGCCAGGCCTGCACATGTATGTATGTATATGTAAATATGCATGCATACATGTATGTATGTATGCAATCATATATACGTTGGTGTAGATATGTATCTATTAAATTAAATTGTATTTTTTTGAATTTTGCATTAATTTTAAATACTATAAGAAAAAAAAGATAAAACCCTTTTTACATTAAATTATTTTAATTAATTATAATTTGATATAATTGAATTCTCCAGAAAATGACCTAAATACTGTTCCACCCCCCTCCTCTCCCCACCAGAGAACTTTGACCAGAGCATCCTGAGCCGGGGTCGGAGGTACCCAACTCAGGAATGGTATTTCTACTTTGATGTACCTTCTTACCTGACCTTCAATCTTGGGTGGTAGGCTGGTTGACCCAATCATGTGTTCAAATTTTGATGCATGCATCTCTATGAATTCTGAACAAATTAATACAAGTAAAATAAAATTTAAAAAATGACATTAATAAAGGCTCTTCATAAAAAAATAATAATTTTATTGAATATATATATATATATTGGTATATATGTTGGTATGTATTTATACAATGTTTCTATGTACATTTATTTATGTTTTGTTTTTAAGACGGTTGCGTGTATGTGTCTTGTGTTCTCTTCTTAGCAAGTGTAGCATTTAGTTAGTTGGTATGGTAGTAATGATGAAATAAATTAATATGGAAAATATTAAAATTTAATGGACTTATAATTGTAAAATTAAATTAAGCATTTATTAGAAATCTAGGCATTGAAAGATAAAAATAGGATAGTAATATCACAGCACAACAGCCACAATAAATAGATGGCATAAGAGAAAACACGGATCATTTCCTATTAAAAATTAAAATGATTAAATCTAAAATTTAGATTCTAAATTAGGATAATTTTACATTACATTACAATATTACATGATACCAGTCACAACTTTTATATCAGTTAGCTGTCAGCAGAAAGGGAATTGATATGTATTATTTGTTATAAAATTATTACAATATTATAATTATCTGTCTATAATAATAATTTAAAAATATAATAATCCTAATCTAATGTTAATGTTATAATACTAACACTATAACTAACAGAAATATTGAATATTTTATGAAATAAAATGCAAACGAAACAAAGAATACACACAATAATACAAATACATACACACACACATACAAGTGTATTCTAAATTTTTGTATAATTGTTATATTATAAATAAATACATCATACAGATTACAACAGACAGATACACAGACACACTTGTTCCTTGTTGTCTTGATCACAAGATGTCAAGATGCCAACCTTTTAAAATAAAATTTAAAATTTATAGCGAAAAAAATCTAATTATAAAAAAAACTCAAATGTTACCCTATAAACGAACATACAGTATCATTCATCAAATCAGCTTTTCTAATTTTTTTGATTTTACTGTCATCCGAAGCTCAAACCAAATTTAACGCCGCTTGTTATTGTTACCGTTCGCGACGGGCTCATCCCTCAACAAAACAAATCAGGCAGACACGATGGCGAATCGGCTGAACAATTAATTAATGGAAATGCGGATATGCCGATGGGAAGATGCAAGGAATTGTGCACTGAACTTTGAACTTGACCTGATCGGTAATTGATTTAGAAACGTTTGAGACTTATTTTACATTTCACCCTTTGGTGATTACCGCTTGATTCCATACGATCTGGGGGTTGGTAGCTCCCTACACGAATCATGAATTATAAATGATGTTCCTATGTAATTTAAAAGTTTTGTAGATTAAGAAATGTTTTGTCGGTCAATAATAGTAGTGTTGCATTTATAGCATTGTCCTATCTTTTTAATCTTTTAGCTTATTATATTGCTGTGTAGTTCAGAAAATAAATTAATAGGTTCTATAAACTATATTATGTAATAACCCCAGTATAAATCATTAAAAGTCATAACTGCTGGTTGATTCCACGGAGACCGTCAAATCACTAAACTCATTCTGGGTGTTAACGGTTAACAACTCTGCTGCTGAAAAATCTTTGCTTAATTGGGACTTTCTGTCTTCCAGAAGAGCTTGCATATGTGATCTTTTAATTCCTTTCAATTCGTCAGTTTGAAAAATATGGTAAATGGCGTTTCTTTTTTCTCGGTAACCAATTTATATGTCTGAAATAGATCTCCTCTGCATATTCTTTTTCCTAGAGTTTTTAATTCACATTCTCTCAATCTATTTTTGTATTGAAGTTTGCAAAATCTTTTGATCACTTTGTTCCTCTCCACAGTACCTTCTTTAAAATGTTTTCGCCTTTTAGCAAATGTGGAAATATTAAAGCAGGGTATTTCTTTTCCAAAAATGTGTGATGCATTAAAAGAACGATCGTGAACTAAAAAGAAGTGTAATTATGTTGTTACACTATTAATTTTTAAATGCCCAATATATTAATAATAAAAGTAATACCTATATACGTGCAAGCACGCTTTAAAGAGTTTTGTTAATTGCCTACAATAGCATAAAATCAATCAATTAGCTTATAAAGCGCTATTTCCGCGATGTTCAACAGCGCTCCTCAATGAATTTTGAAAACAGATGGGTCTTGAGATCCGCTCTGAACTTCGCAAGTGATGGAGAAGTAGTCAGAGAAGTAGGTAGAGAGTTCCAGAGAAAAGGACCAGAAAAAGCAAAAGCAGATTTGGCAAAAGAGTGTTTAACACGAGTTAAGAAAAAGCGAGAAGAAGAAGACGATCGTAAACCGGGGCGTTTAGGTTCAATTAATATATCTGATAAATACTTAGGAAATAATTTAGATTGAGACTTATACATGAACGTGCAAATTTTAAAAATTATTCTATATTTTATAGGTAGCCAGGGAAGAGAACAAGATATGGAGATATATGAGAATATATGAGAAAAGAAAGGGGCACAAGCAACTAGACGAGCAGCAGAGTTAAAAGCTTTACTTAGAAAGGGGTACCGTGCAGTCCATGACTTTATCCTGCTCTATGAAACTTACTATAAAATAAACCGCCTAACTTGAAGTTTTTTTTAAAGTCAAACTTACCGCGAATCGCATTGGTTCAAATGACTGTTAAAATCTGCGCTTCATTCTGTATCTTTTAATGTGTACATAACTTATCAGCACAATTATTTAAGCATTGCGAATAGTTTTAGTTGACTGTCAGTAAGTACTGAATAGCTGTCTTAATATAATCATAATTTAAAAATATTTAAATGAGGTTGAAAAAACATATATATATATGCTACGGACATACAGACATAGTGAATGTATCGAAAATTACTTTTAGTTTAACATCATACAGTACGTAGATTATAATGAGTAAATCATGCAACTTGTTTGATATGTTTACGTATCATTCTATTATTATTATGCTTACGTATCATTCTATAGAGTCTCATTATCCACAATTATCGCACATTTGAGCACAGCAGCAACTCAAAAGGCAGTTTCTATTCTACATTTTTATAAAATTATTTGTTTTTTAATAGTTGACTGATTGTTTGTTATATGGTTTAATTTAGAAATTTATTTAGATTTTTTCATGGATTTTTTGGACTGAATTGTTTTTGTTTGTTTGATACATTATCTTCAAGAAATTTGCAAACAGCTGGACAATACGGATTCACAGAAAACTGGTGGATGATTTTTCTCAGCCAGGAGTAGAAAACTACTTGACCGAATGCTTGGTTCAAAAACCATCAACTTTTAAAGTTGATAACATGCAGAAGCCTGCGATTGTGCCATAACTGATATTACGGGATTAATATCGCATTGACATTTCTGTTGTTGTAACGTTACAAGTTTTTCCAAAATATTCGCCATTCATTTTAATTGTCAAAAAGATTTTCACAGATTTTTTCCAGTTAGTTCTCATTTTTGTTCAAAGTCTGGTTCAACATTTTATAAACCAATGTAATTCAAAATTTATAACAATTTAATATTTTAGTTATAAAATACCTGACAACAGATTGTCATAACATGAAAATTTTAATCAAGAACACATTGAATTTCTATCTTCACATATTTCAAACAATAAATTTAAAGTTAGATATTTGAATAATTTGCTACTTGAAATTGAACTACGGTTGAGGCATGAGTTTGTACGAGCTGGCTAGCGACAGTGGAGTTGAATTCATTTTGTTTTCGTACGGGAGCTTGGTAGGTGACTGCAAAACCTGTCTTGTACCCACGCACTGCCTTCAAAACAACAAAGTAAGTGTCGACGATGAAAAATAGAATGACTGTTGTGTTGCAGATTTTTGACTGAGCCGGAATTTTGAAGAAGATAGAGTCGGAGTCGCATATTTTTCATCCGACTCCGAAAAGTGTTGTGAATTTGAATTTTTTCATTTTTATCCTGAAAATATTTTTACGATCATGTTTATAAAAAGTTAAAGATGCAATCGTATTTAATACCGAGAATAAATGCTAATAATGGGAATAAAATCACACAATTTTCATTTGTTATATATTTGAAACATAAATACAAAATAATTTGACTAAAAAAAAGTACAATGATTGATATTTACATGTTTTTAAAGTATTTTTCATCAAGTGATGGTATTATATATAAGTAAAATTATGGTAAAAAAAAACTTGTTCTTGGAGTCAGGTGTAGGAGTCAAATTTTTTTATTTTGAATCGAAGTTTATGAGAGAAATTTTTTAAATTGCTGAGATTTCAAATTATTGGATTTTCCAAAATATGGGTTTGACCCTACTTTAAATTATCGTGACGGCCAAAAGTGCCTCCTCCTAAAACGAAGCTTATAGTCGAGATTATTAATTTTTTTATATTCATCATCTTCATCGTTTTCAATCAACCTCATCTCAGGCCGGTCAGATATGCATCGTTCCTGGTTTTGATTACATAGTCAACCCTCAACAATGCAATTTCAACTTGGTTCCCGATATCTCAACCTTCATCATACTGCCCTGGAAAAAAAAATTTGCCTGGATTCTCTGGTGGGAATTATTTTGAAACTTAATTAGGCTACAATTTTTAGAGCATATTTTTAAATTAATTTGTGTTGTGTGAAGTTTTACAGTAAAAATTGAATGCAAAAATATGTGATCTATCTTTAAACACTCTTTTGCTAAATCTGCTTTTGCTTTTTCTGGCCCTTTTCTCTAGAACTCTCTACCTTATGAAGTTCAGAGCGAATCTCAAAACCCATCTGTTTGCAAAATTCATTGAGGAGCGCTAATTGATTGATTGATTGCCTTTAAAAAATTTATTTCAATGATTAAGCATAAATTAGATGCGGTAAATTTAAAACTTTTGGAAATTTTCATGTGAGTTTTTTTTAGATTAAAGTTAAACTTCATAAATTATTTTGATTTGAAATAAATTTACTGACAAGAAACTTCGAATGAGGACAATCTTTAATTATTTTTTGTTCATCTAGTATTTTACCATAATTTGTCATTTGCAAAATAAGTAGCGACTTGAGTCGTTTAAAAATAACTTATACGTTCTCAATGAACCTTTTTTCGAGAGAATTTCGGCTTCCAAGGCTCGCCAGCCTTTTTGACCTTGTTTGAATGAATTATTTTATTGTTTGCATGCACGTACTATAAACATAATTTGGAACAGTAATATATCATACAATGGAAAGCCGTTTGCTCAGTGTCCCAGGACCATATTACAGAAAATAAGAACTGAAGCTCTGGATATGGGGTATTTGATGAAGTGCGGATTTGAACGTTAGTTAAACTAATTGAAATTTTTAATAAACTGTTTTTTCAACCAAATATTACTTTAGTGAATATTATTTTTAAAATATTAATAGTTGGTGTATTGTTCGGTTGCTGAAGCGGTTGGTTATTGATTGGTTCATTAAATTGCAGCTGATTATATTCTGAGAACGTTGATTTTCAAACAGCGGAGTTTACCTTGCTGAAAGAGAATGGCTCAGCATTGGCCGATCCTTTAGAATCAAGACTTGCTTTAAACCATCAACAAGCAAGAGCTATTATGAGTTTTGAACCGTTCCTCACTGAAGTTCATGACGCCATGCATGCGCTCGGCTGGGCTCCTTATATGGTTTTTTAAACTTTTAAGTTTTTGTATTATTTTAAATTTTTTATAAAGATAGCTTTTCATGTATAACTATTTAAACAACAATGATTGGTTTGATATTTCAAATAAAATATATTGATGAACAAAACCGCGATTTTTTACAAGTTATTGATTGTGTTAACGGATAATGAGTGAGGCTTCAACTTTTCTGATGTTCTTTTGTTGGCTGACCGAATGTGCTTTTTAAAGTTCATGATTAAGGTTAGTTTTTGAAAATTGTTTATGCTAAGCAAATCTAAACTCTAAGACAAAACTTAATAAATATTTTCCAAGTGCTATGTTTTAGATTTTGAACCAGTGAAGTGCCGTTTTTACCAATTTGACATAAATATTTATATTTTCAATTTGACAAGAAAAACAATTTTTATTTTAACTGTATTCCAGGAAGTTGCAAGGAAACATGGATTTTTAGCTACCTTCATGCCGATGCCGTTTCAAGATTACCCTTGTGGTCAAAATTATATTTGAGTTTTATTTTTTACAAAAAATTCATTAATTTAATGCTCAACAATAAAGAAGTTGAAATTATTTAGTTAATTTTTGCAATCGTTATCAGCAAATGGATTACACACGAACATGTCAATATGGAAAGCTGGTGGTGATGAAATTAATCTGTTGCCCGGATGTCAGAGTTCAGATGATGACGACGATGATGATAGGACTGAGCGTTTGTTTGGACTTCCAAAGGTTTTTATCCATGCTCAATGCTGTTGCTTGTAATTATCAAATGTCGATTGTTTAGTGTAGCCTCATAATTGTCATTCTAATTTCAACTCCGCCTGTCTTTGTTTTTACATCGTCGTGTTATCGTCATCATTCCCACCATCACCCGCGTCTTCCTCTTCATCATTATTTAAATATCGTCACAACAAGTTAGCATACAACTTCATCGCTGGTTTGCTGTCTCATGTTGAAGAATCCTGCGCCATATTTTGCCCAACTGTCAACAGCTACAAAAGCAATGTGCTGAAATAAAAATTTGAAGCATATTATTGCTGAAATAAATTTAAAAACAAAATATTTAATAATATTCATAACTCTTGCCTGTTTCAATAAGTGAAAAGTTAGGAAAACAGTTGGTGTTTGATATATTTTCAGTTAATATATTTATTATTATTAGAACATTTATAAAAAGCCAATTAAATCAATCTTTCAAAGAAGCTATCACATTCATATTAAATTCACGATCACAAAACTAACAACAGTAAATCAATAAATCCATAGAAACGAAAACCAACAGCAATAATCACACCTGATAAATAAAGCGGTTCCAATAGCTACACTTTCAAATGAAATATTCTCTAAATAAATGCATTCATAATAATAATCATTCGCAAAATAATAAAACCAGTTAAAAACATTCACCAAAATAAGTAAATAAGCAACATCAACCAGTCATATTAAAATGAAAATCAAATAACGAAACCAAAATTATATACATATTGCATAAAAGTCATGAAAACAAAACCAAACCAAAAAATAACAATTACCTATAATGAGAAAAGATAAGATTTTAATAATTTTTTGAACGAAAATAAACTTAAATGAAGATTTCTTATGTATGTTCTTTTTCTAATCTTAAGCTTGGTAGTTGGTACCGTCAAGAGATTTGAGTTGATTGATCTGAGTTGAACAGCCCCCAACATGCTTACATCTTTCATCATCATCATTATCTCCATATCTTGTTCTCTTGAGCTGGTTACCTATAAAGTATAGAATAATTTTTAAAATTTGCACATTAATGTATAAGTCTCAATCTAAATTATTTTCTAAGTACTTATAAGATATATTAATTGAACCTAAACGCCCTGGTTTTACGATCGTCTTCTTGTTCTCACTTTTTCTTAACTTGTGTTGAACACTCTTTTGCTAAATCTGGGTTTGTTTTTTCTGGCCCTTTTTTCTTGAACTCTCTACCACCTTCTCTGACTACTTCTCCATCACTTACAAAGATCAGAGCGGATCTCAAGACCCATTAGTTTTCAAAATTCACTAAGGTTACCCAGTTTAAAACTTAATGAAATAAGCAGCTGAAAGAATTCTAGCTTTTACCGTCATTAAACAACACTAAATGTTTAACACGTATATACCTTAATAAAATATATGTGCGTTTTCAGAAACTCTAGTTTATGTTTCTATCCGTTTGTCGGTGTGTGTCTATGCGTGAACATAACTATGCATGTTTCCACGTATGTTTTATACTTTAATCATCGCACGAATAAGTGTTGAACATTTTGGTCGTATGTTTACTGTAACACACGACAATTAATTATAAAAAAACAATTAAGTTATTTAATTTTCTGCAAGATTAAAACCCGATAAATTATGTTCGAACGAGATAACTTGGGGAGGCAATGGCAAAACTGTTTTGTTGAGAGTGCCAAACAGTGAAAGGTGGTTGATTGACATTTTGTTATTTTAATGATTCTTCACTTGAATGATAACTGCTAGTCGATTAATTGAAGCAGTAGCAGATCTAGGGAGGAAGCCGAGAGGAGTAAATGTCCCTTTTCCGTTGTGAGCGTTATTTGTGTTAAAAGTTATGAAAAGCCGTTGTTTTGACGGGAAGTTATATTTTTGAAAAAAAAATTGACATTTCAGGCCAAAAAAAAGATGGTAAGCATAAAAGTTGGTTACCCGGTCAAAATGTTGAATTCCGGTTATCTGATCAAATTTTTGTTGTCGTCAACTAATTTTTGGAAAATTATTTGAATTTGAAAATCCCACCCCTTAGCTATCGACTTCTTTGAAGAAATTCCTCCAATCTGGTCATCTGTTATTTTAAATCCTCTCCTTCGGTCATTTACTTTTTTGGAAAATCCAAAGATTGTGGTTCAAATATTTTTAAAAATATTGCCCCCTACCCCGTCAAACTTGTCTATATTTGCCACTGTGGTGAATGTTTATTTGTGAAGTTAAAAAATTATTCAAATTATCAATTAACAAATTTTTAACTAAATATATCAATTAATATGCATGTATGTTGATACTCCCTGGTTGATGGCTTAACAATGAAGAGTTGAGTACAGACTGACCGATGGAGCCATAAATCCTCACCTTGTGCTGGCTACCTTGCTGGCAGCTGGATTGAATGGTCTCAAAAATAATTTGAGTTAATAAAATTTATACTAATTAATTAATACTTAATATATAAGTTTTTATATTGTTTTTTATTTAAAAGTTTGGATGAATTATTTTTAAATTCATTTTTAAATAATTATAACTTTTTAAACAAACAACACTTTTGAGAAAATCAAAAGTCATTCATTAAAAGCTTGTTCTTTATTGAAAAATAAATTGTAAAATCATGTTTTTATTTCAGAACCCCCACCAGCCTCTAACGTGGACAAATGTTTGTTACACACACACAAATTAACTTCGAGCTTGAAACGATTCTCTAGGACAGTAAAAGTTGGGGAATGACCAAACTGTCCTCTCCTCTTAACTGTCCTCTCCTCAAGACTCAACATCAAAATCTTTTTTGATATACTACATAAAAAATTAAAATAAAACAACACGTTTTTAATATTGTTATGGAAAAAAATCATTCATAGTTGTCTGTTTGCCAAAACATTTTGTTTTTAACAATTCAATTTCTAAAATATTTTCAATGTTCTCAGAAAATTGTAACAATTCTCTATTGCCCATATGTATCGAATAGAAAGTTAGCTTCCTGGCACATTGTAATGCCATCTTTGTAGAAACTTCTTGGACTGGAGCCTCTTCTTTCTCTTCATCATTTTGGACTTCAAATTGTTCATGATTTTCAGAACTTTGTGGGCTATGGATTGAGTCATCATTGTTATCCATGGTTATTTTTTCCCCCAAAATTCTCCCAAGTAACAGAACCCAAAAGGCTGGTTATGGTAGGATCAGCTTCAATCAGCTGCACATCTGTATCTATATTTTCTCCTATTCCAAAACCACACTTATTAAAACATTTTGTGATTGAAGTAGGATTAACATTTCTCCATGCCACATCCAACCAATTAATTGCATTTAATAGGTTAAACGACCGCGATAAAAAATCAAAGACCGAAAATAATTTTTTTTAAATAACCAAAGATTATCAAAGTTTCTTTAGCGCATTCCATAGAATAGAATAAATACAAATATTCAAATTAGATGGCGCATTTTATCAAATATTCCATGTGTTTTTGTTATAAATTGTCCGCTCTTTAAGACATAAAAGTCAATTTGTACTTAAAACCCTGTCCGTAGTTCGTTCCTTTAAAATGTCCGTTCTTTAGGGTCTATTTAACATGAAAAACGGTTCCGTGCCAAGCAATACTGTCCGTTACTCTTATCTGTCCGTTCTTTAGAGTCCCGCTCTAGAGGACTTTTACTGTATTCAATCAGAAATGAGCAGTACCTCAACATCAGAAACCACCCTTGATGAATTCCGCTCTACTTCAAATCCCAAATTCTAATCCTAACATTAATCCCAAATTAGTCCCAGAAAGTCTATTAGAAGCTCTACAAAAGTTGGAGTCTAGTGAATTTTTGAGAGAGAAATTAGGTACGCAACTGGTCGATGCATTCGTGGAGTTGAAGAAAAAGGAATGGAAGGATTATTCAGCGCACTTCACACAGTGGGAGAAAGAAAAATATTGGAACTGTTAGGTCAGATGAAGTTAGCAAGGAGGAGATGGTTTTGAGGAACAATACCGCTGTATATTACTGTTAATTATTGCAATCTGAAATTCCAATAGCAATTAGTTACGGTAATAAACGAACATGTTTCAAATTTATAATTGCTAATTAGTTGTTACTCTTAATCATGAGACTACATTGTGACCGACAGTTTTCTTCATTAAGTTGTATATTCACCACTACTTGTTTAAAGAGAAAGATGTACGTAATTTTAAAATTTAGATTTCCAAAAGCAAATCAAGAGTTCTGAACCTTTTGACCAGTTAAACCCGAGCGCAATAAAAAAAATCAGCATGCATTATTCTCCAGCAAACTGAGCATGTCTTAACGATGAACGGGCATTTAATGACTTGATTTAAGTTTTTTTTGATGAGGTTAACTCATTTTCTACATCAGCTTTGTGTTATCAACGTTTTGTTTCATATGTTAATTATTCGTTTCGTTTCCTTAGAAACCGTTTTTATTTGAAAAAGTTTTGACAAATCGAGTGAAATAAAATATATGAATTTACAAAATCATATTTTTATTTCACATATTTTTTGCCGAAATAAAAACTGGAAAAAATTGTAATGGGGTAAGTTATAATTAGTTGTTTCACTCATTAGATCTTCATTTAGCCAGCATACACAAACGTACAAAATTGATTTCATTAAAATTGTAAAACACATCAATCGATGGTTTTTTTACAACAGCATTCACATTTGGATAAAAAATTGCGACATGAATATTAATTAACACTCGACTACTATAACTACTGCTGTCGCTGTAGCTACCATTACCACTACCACTACCACAACCATTACTGCTTAATGCTACAATTACTACTACTACAATAGCAACTACTACTACTATTACTAAATACTACTATTATGAAAAAAAAAATAAATACAATGATGTGAACAATATGAATGGAAAAGTAGAAATAGCTTGGTAAGTAGTACTAAATTTAAGTATAAAAATGTCAATAATAAAAATAATGATATAATAATACATTATTATAAATAAAGACAATAATTTTGATACTACCTCATTAATAATTATTAACCATAAATTAATAATTAAATGAATTTTTCTTCTTCTTTCTCGTGTCTTATCCTTTCAGGACATTGGCGAGCATCGACTTCCACAAAACCCAATCTTTAACACCTTTTAGCAGTTGAAATGTGGTGATATTCAACAAATGACACAAGGACTTCACGAATGTTATTCGTTGTTGACCGCGATGTGTGTGTGGTGTGTGTGTATGGTGTGTGTGTATGGTGTGTGTGTATGGTGTGTGTGTATGGTGTGTGTGTATGGTGTGTGTGTGGTGTGTGTGTGTATGGTGTGTGTGTGGTGTGTGTGTATGGTGTGTGTGTGGTGTGTGTGTACGTGCATTGTTTGTGCCACATTGAATTTCGTAAATTCCAACCAAGAAAATGAATTTTGAACATGCATTGAAAGACATCATGTATTTGAACAGGCTGCAAATCAACATGCTGTCTAAAAATCATCAATTATTATGATTTAAGTTAGTAAAATGTTTTTGTTAAATAAATAAATAAATTAATTAATTAATTATACATATCTACCAAAATAATTGCCCAAAGTTTATATTATCATTGTATAAGTTTAATATATGCTACAATCACAACTCTTCGTATTATCAGTTTTGATTATGATTACTTCTGATATCATTATTTGTTGTTAGATATTCACTGTTTATTGGTAAACAAGCCAGCTTCATATAACAAAAACATTTTATTTTTCAAAATAAGAATACTTGATCCCTACTTGTGATATGGGTTATCAAATGTTTGTTTCATTATTGATAAGAAAAAGTAAATTTACATCGATGACTGAGTGAATGAATGAATAAATGAATGAAACAATGAATGAATGAATGAATGAAACAATGAATGAATGAATAAATGAATTGTTGTATAAGATGCTTCTTTGTATAAGATGAAAAAGCGAAAAAAAAAACAATGACTTCATTGAAGAATGCTATTATTATTGTACGAACGAACGGACAAATGTATGAATAAGTAATAATTTAGTCTACGAATCTCTTCATTAAAAATAACGAGTACAACTAGAGTTATTTAGTTTCAAAATTGATTCAAGTCACATTTCTATCGCAGTTATTTAATTAACTAGACAAATAAAAATAAGTATTATGAATAAAACCAGTGAGTTGTACGAAATTCGCTAACTTTCTTGCAATGCAAAATAATAATAATAAATAATAATAATAATTTTATTATAATAATCCGTACATTTCATAAATTACTCCATTAACTATAGTCTTTTACCCTTTGTACCGTTTGTTAACCCGTAACTACAGTAACTTTGTAATTTTCAGATCCGAATTTCAGTCTTGCAATCTTCAGTTGAAAGTACGGTTCAAAAAAGATTTTAATGTACTTTTCGGTGCATCTTATTTCCTCTCTTCAGATCATTCAAAACAGATTAGCCAAACTTTTTTTAAAATTACCTCGTTTATCTTCTAGTTCAACATTTCTTGCTCACCTGCACTGACTACCGATTCGTCAACGCATTAAGTATAAAATAGCTTTCATCGCATATAAAACACTCAACACATCTCAACCATCATATCTTCACAAACTCATTCACCTTCGCTCGTCTGTTAATCATCGCCGTCACCTTCGTCTGCCGTCATCATTGCAACTGCATCAACCAGTCAATACATCAGCTCTCGTCAATAAAAGCTTCTCACATTGCTCACCATCAACATGGAACAGTTTGCCACTCATCATCCGTCAACAATCATCAATAGAAACGTTTAAAAAGCGATTGAAGCATTTGTTTATCCGGGCGCCTCTGACGCTATGCATAGGGCGCTCATAAATGACATTATTATTATTACTATTCCCTTAGTCCATTAAACAGACACTTTTGTTTGTTGCTTTAACGTATACGTTACTATATAACAGAGCTACAGAACACATAAATCATATGTTAACGGTACAGAAAATTTACGAAGTGATCTTCAAACATATCATACAAAGTTACGTTACACCAATCAATAATGCTAATAAAATTAATTTCAGGATTTGCTACTAAACCCCCAGGCAACAAAATTTTAGGCAAGGTAACCCATTCTGACGTCAACAAGTTTCCTCTTCAACCTCTTCAGTTCTTTAGAGACAAAAGCAATTGGGTTAACACTGTGGAGCCACAAAACCATCGCAAGCAGGAAAACTAACAAAGTGATGAAGACAACGATGATGATGATAAAATTTCTGTATTCGGCTTCTGAAAGTTATGAGAAATTTATATTCAAGCTCATCTTAAGTGGATGTTGTAAATTGAATTTAAATCAATTTTTATAAATAATATGAAAAATAAATAAATAAGTGAAGTAATGTTGAAACCGTTTTGCTTTTCCACAGTTGATTCGGACATCTCAAAAAAATTATTTCTACCTGCAAAAATGAATAAATAAATGAACTAGACAACGAGTGGGAATGTGGCACAGATAACATTTGGACCAGGTCACCGCGTCGTTGTTTGTTGTTCGTTGTTGCAGTGGCCCGTCCTAATTTATTCAGCGAATACGTAAAATATACAAGACAATATGATACAATTTTATGACACGATCTTCAAAAAAAAAATTAAATCAAAGGTACAAGATTGTGAGGAAGTCATTATATTATTAGTAAGTACAATTAATAATAGTGGAAATATTAGTAAACAGTAATAGTAGTAGTGGCGGATTAAGTCAAGCGGGGGCCCTAAGTAGAAAAAATTTGTGGCCCCCAAACTTAGTGTGTCGTGGAGAGGCTTTTTAACTTTCAATTATTTCCAACTTATAACTATGTAGGTGATATACATCTTTGAACTAAAAACAACTTTTAACGAATTTGAATATATTTTGTCGACAGATTTGTTACAAACATTAATATATTAAGTGCAAAATTTTTTGTATATAGAACAAGAAATAATGAATAGTGTTGACACTGCCAAAATATAGGAAATATAGAAAACTTAAAATTGGAGTTTAAAGAAAAAGATGATATTACTACAGCAGAGGGCTCTCTAATGATCATTTTTATAGAAAAAAATCTAACGGAGTTTTGGAAAAAAGAACATGGCTGGTATTTTCCGAAACTAGCAAGTGCGTTTATTGTTACCCTTGCAAACTTTTCTCCAAGAAATAAAAGAAAAAAACAGACAACTAAATAACGTTTTAATTATTTGGCAACAATACTTTTTAAAAAAATAAAAACACGCGCTTTCAACAACAAAACAACGATACGATATTAAAGACAGAAAAGTAGGGATGTCCGAAGAAATATCACGGTGGCTAACGAAACGAATGACAGATTGTTTTCAAACATATTACTGTAAACTGCTAATGTTTGCAAACGCTTATTAACGTTGAATTCAGCATAGTAATTGAAAAAATTTTTTAATAATTTCATTGCATTTCAAAATTTATTTCAGTTATTTTTATAAAATAATTTTTTTACGGGGCCCCCTTTCCATTAATAACAAATATTATTTAAAATTTTATGATTTTTTTCAAATTTTGAAATTTCATTATATTGGAAAATTTATTTGAAGTATTTTTTGAGGGATAAATTTGTACAAGGGGCCCCTTGGCCGTCCGGGGCCCCTAGCAGCTGCTCAGTCTGCTAAGCGTTAGATCCGCCACTGAATAGCAGTATTAGCTGTGGTAATAGTGATAGTACCTACCGGTGACAGAATTAGATTGCGATGCACCACTAAGATTAGTTATCTGTTATTGTCAATATATTATATATATATTACTCTCGTTGTTATCATTATTATAATGTTGTGACATATTAATGATAAGTGATTCAATCTTAATATAACATGCAAGCACAAGCCACACGCACATTCATCTTAGTTAATATATCCTGGGAGTCATGCTATAGAAAAAT